CATTTACTTTAAGGTTAAGACGCTATTTATCATCAAAGTGGAGGTGACAAAAAGGCAACTGGGTATCTGAATCTGGAGCTCAGGAGAAAGATGGACCCAGGTGAGGACAGGAAAAGAGAACATGGAGACGGTGTAGGCACCCCTTGGGGCGTTGTGCTTCTTAAAGTAGAACAGAAATTGAGTAGGTAGTCAAGGGAAGGAGTCTGTTGGCTTTTAGTAGATGTTACAGCACTGTTTGAGAATGCTCCAGGAAAGAGGGAGGAAACGGATGAGGAGGAAGAGAGAATATACTATAAACAATTGCTACTAGTTGAGCAGAAAAGAAGTCCACCATTAGGAAGAAAACCTTGAAGAGAGTTTGCGCTTTCCATTTTGTCAGTAGATTTGAATGAGAGTGTGTTGTATGTTTCTAAACTGAATTCCTGGTAACCCGAGATACAGGACAGTGACAAGAAAGAATGAGCCAGGTTGTATTTTAAGAAAACATTTCCAGAGTGAGGAGAGAGATCTACACTAAAGATAAAATTATATACCTTCAATTATATATCTCCATCAAAGAAACCAACATTAAATTATTAATTATATCTCAGTTGAAAGACTACTACACATCTTTCCTTAATCCCCATTTATTCGGGGAATCATGGTAATTCAGGTTTAGAAAAACTAAGTTAGCCTGAGAAATAAGCAAATAAATGTGCAGAGGGATATTTAACATCCTTTTATAGAATTGTTTCCAAGCTGTGGATAAGCAGGCCTTTAACATAGAGGTATACTAATTACAAATGCTCCTTCTCTCTTCAACAAAGTGAGCAACGCTTTGTCAGCCTTTATCAGGAAAGATGGGAAATGTTCTAATGAAAAGGCTGCAAGGTTAATTTCTGGTGCCTTTTACCAGAAATGTGTCAGCAGTGACATTGTTGACGGAAGGCACAAGTGTCAACAACAGAGCAGACCAATTACAAATGATAACGAATAGCAGTAATTAATGTTCCTGTAGTGCTTTATATTTGCTAAGAAACCATGAACACATTCTATGATTCCACTGATTCAGTAAATACATTTGACAGCCTTCTGCTTTGCAGGTTCTAGAAATTTAGCTGTAAAAAAGTTCCCTGTCTCTTGAAGCTTAACGGATTACAGAACAACCTGATGAAATAAGTAGGTCAAATATTATTATTTTTCACAGATGAAGACATTCTAAAGCTTAATCAAAACTTAGATTCAAGTTTCTACTGTTCTAGGAGTTTGGGCCCCAGATGAAATCTTATCACCAAAATTTTCTTTCTCAGAACTATTCAAAACTCAGCACTTCAATACAAGTTGTGCCCTGAAATATTATCTTCATCAATATAGTGAAATTCTGTGGTGGAAACTCTTTTGCATTTAAAAAATTCATTCTGGCACTGAGTCTAATAACCATTGTGTCTAGAAGAAGAGCCGTTTTATATTATAAAGACACCAGTTACAGCTGATCCCCTTGAAGTAACTGCTCTTTGAGCCTGGTAAATTATTTACTATCAACAGAATTATTGTGGTATCTGAAATTATCAGCTTTTTCTTCAGCAGCCTCCATAACTAAAACTTAATTAACTGCATTTACTTTCAACTTTTGTTTAAAAATCTTTTTACCATTTGCCTTGAGTCGATTAGTTGTTGAAAATTATAGCAGTTCTATTTTTTTCTAAGTTTAAGGCATAGCTTATACATGAAAATAGTTATTGTAATGTTTTTAAAATATATATAAGCCAAATACAAACTCTTTTCAGTGTATGTGACTAGACGTAGATTTTTTTCATGATTGAGAAAAATTTTATATGGGTTTTTAAAAATAAAATAAGTGATACATGAGACCATCTCTTCCCTCCTTAACTGGTAACTTTCTGGGACTGTTGGAATATAGTATTCGTGTAACAAGATGTTAAGTGGGAAATTTCCTGTAGGTACTAAGTTCCAAACATTCTCCAGAGAAAGCTGGTGAGAATGGATCCAGATACCTTGTTCAGGATCAACCAAAAGGTGATGAATTGTGGCCTGCCGGCCAGCTACCTATCTGCACAAACAGAAGATTGGTGTTGGGGAAGGGCATAGAACTGTCTGAGCCACTGAGGAGAGCATGTGGCTGAGGAGAGGGATGTCCCCATGTCCTCTAAGCCCTATGAGAAGACCTCTAAGAAGAAGGTCTATCCAGAGTAGGGGAACCTACCAGAAGGGGAAACTGGCATCTCTTTCCGGTCAGACTTCGAATAAGCAGATGCACCAGCCTGAGCTGAAGAAGAGGGAACCGGAGAGACGTCTCCTGAGAGTGGTCACAGAGCAGCCCGCCCTGAGGAGGCTGGGTTTGTACACTCTCCCCTGTGTCTCTCCAAGGGGCCAGCATGGGCACTAGGGGAGCTAAGGAGAGGTTGGAGGAAGTCAAGCTAGAGACCTATTTCTTACATCAGTGAGAACTGTGCAGTGGGGACCCACTCCCCTTCCCCAGCGGAGACTCCAAAGATCTCACACGGGTACACAGCAGAACCCTTGTGAGAGTGGGGCAGGGTGGGCGCACCAGCTACACCAGAACACTGGAAGCCATGTTAGTGTCACCCTTAGAAGCAGTGCAACCATCTGAGAATCCAGCCATAGCCAGATAAGAAAAGAGGCCACTGTCCTTCTCCTGTGCTCTCCTCCCCAGCAAAGGGCATGAAGGAGGTAGAGCTTGGGGTCCTGAGTTTCCAAGATTGACCATTCCACCTCACTCCTCCCTGCTCCTACAGGAAGAACAAAGGAGAAGAGGATCAAGTACAAACCAAATCTCTTTTAGCCACCATGAGTTTTTTAAGCCTCAGGACTGGCCTGTGGTAAGAGAGCGCAAAGTCTGAATCAGATGATACTCGAGTTGTATACAAAATGGATTCTTAGGGACTCACAGTGACCACGAAGTTAGGAGATCTGCCCAAAATGTCAAGTGGCCTGATGCCCATCAAGGAGGGGAGACTGGACTGGCCCATTTGGGAGTAATGATAGGAAACAATAAAACATTCAGGTTATTTGAACCCCAGTGGAATTGAGACTCTTCCTTGAACTGGTTCCATTTACAGACACGTGTTCCAGGATGGGTAAAACAATACATATCGCCATATAACTGGAGACCCCCTTGGCCTTCTTTGAAGTCAGTACCAAGCTGGCAGTCCTTTCCAGTCATCCTAGCAGGCTGACTTGTGACCCTCCCCTGTGTGACCTGAGCAAGCCACTTACATCTCTGAATGTCAATTCAGTGCCTTTCATCTGTCAGATGACAGGTGGTCCATGGGTTACTTCTAGCACTAAAAGTCTCTGAAATTTGTGAAAGAATTAGCTCAGAACTGTGGATGATAGCACTGAAAAGGTCAAGGATATCCTAGAAGTATGTTTTGTGCCAGTTAAGATGGCAGCCCCACCAAAGCATGGAGTTAGTATATTCGAATCAGATGGCAGCTCTTGTAGATGAAGCTGGGGGGTTAACCGGCAAGACTTAACTTGCTAGTTTTAATTTTTGAAAGGTAAGAAGAGGAAAATCCCCTGTGGAAGAAACAGCATGAAGTTTAGAGAGAGAGCTAAGAGTAGCAGACCTGGTTAAGCCACTTAGAGTGGGAGGTGGTTGATATTGCCTTTGGTCAGACCCCCAGGGATCTTACTTCCTTAAGGAAATGCCAGTTACCTAACAATCCATCCCCAGCAAGCCATCCAGATGACAGAAGGGATGAAAAACAAAGATGTTTATGTGTGGGTGGGGAGATGCTACTGTAACTGGACAGAGAGATGTTAAATTTCTGGTGAGCATTTCTGGGAGGGTGGAGGTAGGGAAGACATTTAGCCAGGGATAAGTTTCTTTTCCATAATTCATTTGCTGATGCGATTGTTCTTTGCTGGGCTTCTAAACCATATTGTGGTTATGTTCTTATCTCCTTCCTGCATGATCTTTGTACGGCCTGCTTGTGAATTCTGGGGATGTTCACAGTGCTTACTGAGTAAGTTTAGGCATGCTGCCATTTTCTGTGATTCAATTTCATGGTGTCTTTTAGAATGATGGAATTCAGGAAAAGAACTCTATAAAGATCAAGCCAGGAGTCTCTTCGCTTTATTTGGTGGTTCTGCTGTAATTCCTGGGAGGGGAGTTAGTTTGGCATTTGGTTCTAAGCAAATATTATTGCCTTTTAATAATTGTTAATTATTAGATTGTTAATGGTGTGGTGGAGAGTTGAGATTACAGAGCTGACTCCTTTAGGCTTCCCAGTGCTGTTCACCAAAGTGTCTGCTTCGATATAACAGACCCCGGCTTCCTAGCCCCAACCCCTCCTTGCTCTAATCTCCTGCCTTCTCCACCACCACACACTTCTACTGCTGAGTGGCATACTGATGCTTCTCCCCATTCTTCCCAAGGGCAATCACAGTTTTGCCCTTGAGAACTCTGGAGGGAGAAGGATCTTCTAGGTTTATCAAGTGGAGCAATGACTAAGTCAGGAAAGTCATTTTATTGCATTGTTTGCTTTTGGTCATTGAAGATAAGAAAATAAAAATATTTATTCTGCGTTAAAGGCTTTTTTCCTATCTTTCTTGAACTTCATGAAAATATTTATCCTCTGAAATGAATGATGTGAAGAGGGAAGATATTTCCGTTCTCTTTGGCAAATGTAAAACAGTTTGCTTTTCGCAAGATGTGCATTTATTGGTAATCTCCCTTGATATAAAACTAATGCATAAATGGTCTTTTTCCTCCCCCGCCCAGCCAACCCAAAATCCTTTTAAGCAAAAGAATGAATTGGAAGCCAATTATTAAACCTGGGCATCCTAAAACATTGTTTGAGTTTGTGTGTGTGTGTGTGTGCGTGTGTGTGTGTGTGTGTGTGTGTGTGAGTCAGTGTTTAAGAAATGTGATTCTTTGCTTTTTATTATGTTCCTCCTTCCTTTCCTTGATGCTACCATGGTAGCTGCCATGTTCTAAATATTGACAAGATGAGATAGTTTTCTGTTTATATCAGCAGTCGTCTGTCTGTGAGATATGGACGAATCAGAACGCTGGATTTCCTTTCTCAGCCATCCATCAGGTTCATAATGTAAGGTTACAAATGGTTATTTTCTTTCCTGAACTTGCGCTCTGTAATGTGTTGCAAAGTGTTGTCAATAGCTACAGGTACTGTGTCCTGGCAATGCAGAAAATTTGTGATGTCTAATGACTCCTGAGATCTTGTCTATTATATTTCATTCACTGTGCCTTGTGACTAGTTGACGTGCAAACATTGTCCTAAAATGAGAAACATACTTGGTTTTAAAGTCTACAGTTAAAATCTGTCCCATGTGAGTTTTGGCTTTCATCCTAGGTGTCTGTGTTAATTTGCTTTTACAGGAAGAAGGAAAAGGGTAAATTGATATATATATATATACACACACATGTATATATCGGTGTTATTCTTCCTCATCTTGTACTTCCCCATGTCCACGGGCTATTCAACCCATTGTGTCTAACAGTTCTCAAAGGTTCATGTGCTTTACTTGTGAGAAATATTGGAGTATGATTTGCATGATATTCTGTATACCTTTCATGCAAGTGTGAGAGTAGTATAGCCAGGAGCTGCACTATTATGGCTACAAAGTGGTTCTCAGCCTTTTTCCATTTGACAATTCTGAATTGATCTTTACAAACTGTTGAAATCATGACCCATTTTACACCAAGCTACCTAATATTCAAATATTCACATTCTACCTTTGCATACTTAAAAAAAAATTCGTTTTTGTTTGGAAAGTAGACATTTTTATGGTTGGTATTTTCTGCTTTGTATTTTAAAATACAATCCTGTTTGCACATCCTGTTGAATAAATTTTTGCCATTGGATAGCCTGCTGAGAGGTTGAGACATTTGGTTGAGAATCACTAAGCAGAGCTCTCAGGGTGGCATGTGAGGGTCTCTTTCGGGGAGCCACGCCAGGCACACCCCTCCTGTGCATGGGATTTCTGCCTCTTGGGGTCTATACATTGCCTGGTACTGATGCTTCAGTGACCCAGTGGTCCCTCCCGAACCCGTAAGTGCTAATCAGTGGCCATCTCTGCTCTCTATCATCAAAAGGAACAAATTTAGTATAACCAGCTGCATTTGACAAAACTGGCATTCTTTATTCCTGAAGATTTTTAAAACAACTGCTGTGGCATCCTGCTTCTGTGTGTGTGTGAATGTTTGTAGGAAGCCTTTCTTTACATTCACATCCCAATATATATATACACATTTATAAGCATAGAGCTCTATGTAGCATTCTTCGTAGCCTTAGAGATGACAGACAATACATGTAATCACATATATCTTATGAATGTTTGGGTAGCCCTTCTCTGATATTTGTCAGAATTATTGAAAATGAAACCTTAAGGGAAAAAGTTTTTTAAATAAATAAAATGAAACCTTAAAATAACAATTGTCATTTAAAATAATTTTAGTTTTTCATTAAGTGTTCTGAAGAAATAGAGAATAATGTTTGTGAATATTCAGATCTAAATTTATAAGCAGGTAGGTGGAAACAGTTCCTCATATAAAAGATTTAAAAGCTTCTATTTAAAAAAAATCAATTAAATCCTAATTTTTAAAAAAAAAATTTAAAGAATAATAGAAGACTTGGAAAATACCATACCTTTCTGTTCATGTTAGGAAGCTCAGTGATAATCATGGCTTATAATTATTTATTGACAACCTTAGGAAGTTTTTTCTCAAGAAGAAAATGAGGATATCGACAGTGCTTCCCTTTCTTTGCACAGAGAATATGGAGTTTCTTCAGTTTCCAGTTTGCAGGGAGAAAGCTACACAATGTGATATCTTAGCATTTGCCTTATGTATCTGGTGCAGATGAACTAAAAGTCAGTCAGCTTTACCGTCTTTTGAAATAAAGCAAAGTTTAAAAGCTGCATTTTAGACTCTGCTATCCAATAAAAATCTATCTATAGACTTCTGTGAACTTTTTCTATGTTATATATACAATTTAGTATATATAGATATTAAATTCGGTTAGTAGTTTTATACTTTCACCTAGTGGCATGAAAGACGTTTGATTTAAGTATGGCCTACCTATTCAACAGAATCAATTTTCCATTTAAAGCTCTAATCTTAGATTATGTTTTTCCTTTATATTCAAAGGTTAATTTCTGTTTGAGCTCAAAAGGATACTTAATGATGTACATTTTTCTTTTATGCTGATATTATCCTAAAGAAATACATATATACATGCATATGTACATACATACCAAGTAAATGAGGTTTTAAGCCATGACCAAATTCTTGGAATATTAAGATCATTTAATACATGAACATAAAGGAAAGGTTTAAGTATTTTAAGCTCTAAAAATGTAGCCTGAAAACATTTAGTAAGAGTGCCTTGAATCATTTCTCTTCTGCAGTTGCTTAAGCCTTTTAAAGTACTGTCAGTCAGTAATAGTTTAAGATAGAATTTTACCCCAACCTTTTCCTCTTGTCTTCTTTTATTCTATTTAAATATTGCTTCATCATTGTTACCTGTGTTCAGATCTACTGTTCATTGAGGATAAGGCTTGATTATGTAACATTTGATGATAGACCATTCTTTGAGGCAAAACATCTTTTTTATTTTTTTCATATTTAACACAAATTTTTTAAAAACTGGGAAATTATTAAATTAATTTTATTAATTTACCTGAAGAAATACAGGTACCATCTTTATAAGAGTGTACTATTTGGCAAAGCCTGACAATGGGCCTCACAGTTTGGAATTATTTTATAGCTAAGGTAGAAACCCTAATTTGTCTTTTGGTTTCTTTTGCTAGTCCATACACTATACTGCCCTGATCAGTTACTCCGTAGGTCATTCCTGCTGCAGTCCAGCCTCCAAGATGGGTGAGCCCTAAGGCACCCTTGTTCTCTGGAGGCTTGTACTTACTGTCAGCTGACTAGTTGAAGCGGGAACCCACCCAGAGGCTAAAACCATTCCTGCCCTTTGCAGTAATGCGTCACCAAGTCTGTCCATTCTCTTAAAATTAACTCCAAAGAGAAGGATCGACACCTATAAGTTGAGTCTTATAAATATTCTTTGATCCAAGATTAAGAACAATAATAATAAGTTGGTAAATCTCCAGGAAGAACATAAATTTATTTTGTTATATCTTGAATCTTAACAACACTTTTCCCTCATTTGAAAATGAATTTCTGGAAATAGCCCTAAATATGACAAAACTCATTATCTTTTTCCAGAAAGATAGATTCAGTCTATATAGAGAATTTAAAAATATTTGGACTGGAGTAATGTTTCAAGGCCACAAAGAAAATAAAGTAAGGATTGTATTTCTCTTCCCTGTAATTTCCTCCCCTCCCCCATAGCACGTAGGGGAGGCCCTGTCAGATCACTCTGAATTCAAAGCAGGTGGCTGTGGTTTCTGGACAAAGTGGAGTCATAGAAGAGCAGATGATGGCGCTGTTTAAACAGAGTTAAATGGATATGCCACGAATTTCTTCAAGTGGTTATCAAATAAGAGGTCGGGATGTATTCCAGACTGAGGTGGTATGTGCTGGGGCTTGTTACTCCCAAAATGGCTGCTACGACTTATGTGGATGATGTAAATATTTTGATCAGCATTTGGCTGTAGTTCTGCTTTAAATGTACGGAACTCACATTGAAATTTAATTATAAAAGTGCTTGAGTTAATTCAACAGAGAATGAGTTTGCATATGATTTGCATGCCTAATGAACTAACACCTGAAATGTCCCCATAACCCCAGCTTCTCCCCATTTCTCCCCACCCACCAGCCCTATTCCCAACCCTTGCCCAGCAACCCATGGTAACCCCAGCTCCTGCCATGTCTGTTCAGACTGTTTTGAAAACTGCCTGTTGAGTTTGGCCAAGGTGTACTCAGCTGAACTATGACAGGCATAATGTGAAGATCTGATGCTTGGTTTAAGTTGTCACCTCAGCAAATACTGGATGGAAGGATCGTGTAACATCAACAAGCTCCTCCTTTTGTATCATTCCACGAAGTTGCGTGCAAACTTCTGTTGTTCCGTTAACAGTGTTACCTGTGACTTAAATGTACAACACCTGTTTGCTATTTGTTGTTGCTTTATCGAGGGTGGGAGGCGGAGCGGGAAGAAAGTTAATGGGGCAGATTAAAGGACTTGCCAGATTTGGGGAGAGCTTTTAATTAAGAACTTGTAGTTGCATGTTTCCAGAGGTTTAACTATAGGTATTATCACTTAAATGTTATTACACTCACCTTCAAAATAATACCAAAATCCACATTTCCTACATTTTCAATTTTATACTAGTTTTTTTTTTGTTTTTTTTTAAAGCATATCACAGCCAATTGAATTAAAGACTGGGGAAATAATCAAGACCAGATGTTTGAGAGGGAAGGAAATTCAAATATCTTAATAGGCAGCCAGAGGAAAACTTATGCCTAAAATTAATTGAAGTCAGTCAGTCATTGCTTTTACAAAATAAAAGTTCATATAAATATAAAGAGAAAACTCAAGAATGAGTCAAGGATGGGTCCTAAGACAGACGGAAATGCTAAAGTAATCATTCCAGGTAAAGTGTTAACCGTACCAACAGAGAGGAGATAGGAGAACCAAGCCATATGCAAGTATAAAGAAGATAAATGTTAACAATTATCAAAAAAAAAAAAAAAAGAAGAGCTTAGAGCGTGAGGGAGAGCTTGAGATCTGATAGGTCGCACACTCCAGTGAGAAACCAATGAGCTAGCATGATACTAACTTTGCTCTTCCTGAGATTGGGAGTGACCCATCTCAAGTAGAAAAGCTTCAGGCTCTCTGCTCCAGTGAAAAGGCCTGTGCATTCCTGAAGGGCTCTAGAATTTTCTCCCATTTTTTCAGAGCCAGTTAGAAGCTTCAGAAGTCAAAGCCTATGCCTACCACTTCCCAGCATTAGCAGCCACCTCATGTAAGTCCAGTCTGAACAGAGAAAACTGAAATGCTGGTCCTCTTCCCTAAAACATACAGCCTATTTAAGCTATTCCTGGAGACTTGTGATTTTTAACCTGTTGGGGTTTCTGATCCTTTGAAAGAATTTAATGAAAACTGTAGAGTTTTTTCTCCCCCAAAACATACATCTACATCCACAATTTTGCATTCTTATCCTAGAATATAAGAATATTCTTATCCTTCTTAAGAATCCCTATAGCATCAACTTATTTGCTAGTACTTCCATGAAAGTTGGTCTCTAACCAAGTTTTTATTTGGCTTGGGAATTCATAAGACCTATTTATATTCTTCAATTCCTGAGAAAGGTGATTCCTTGTAATTCTACAAGACCAGCTGAATCCAGGTTAAAAGAGAGTGGCTTTGGAAATCTGCCTGTTGTCTAGTTTTGTTAATGTCCATTTGAGAACAAATTGCTGAATTTTAAGAAATGAGAATCTTTAGGGAAGAGAGTGAGAAATCTCCTGTATATAATACCTGAATCAGACTAGAGCCCAGACTTGCCAGCACAGACCTCTCACTTCATAGATTCTCACACTAACCCGTTATGAGGCTAACCTCATGGAAAATGGTAAATGACACTACAGGATGTCCTTCTGTCTCAGGTCTGTCTTAGTGGGCGTATGCATTATATGATGCACCATCATATGTGCACAGGCTTGTATTTGTGAACCAAGATCCTCAAGTACATGCATGTGTACATACGACCAAACTTGGTATTTAAATGTTTATTATTCATGTGTGCCTTAGGTTTTCTGAGAAAGGTAGCCAAATACATCTAAGACAGTCAGAGTGGCATTTTATCAATACAGATGAATTCAGATGAGGGAAACTAGTCATCCATTCATAAATTTTTCTTCTAAAATTTTGCTTAGAGTCACACTTTTACTACCTTTTCTCCAGAGATATAAAATTATCCCAAGTACACGGTACATGTCACATTTGGAAACTGAAATTCATGGAACTGTGTATCCTGAATGTAAAAGCAATTCAAACTAAAAATTTCAAATAATCCAGGTTAAAAACAGAAGTCTTTCCAAGGTTGTATGTTCTTTTCTGTGTGACAGAAAATTATGAATTAGTGCCTCATTTATGAAGATCTCTGTTTTATTTTAAAATTCCTTACTTAGGGTGTCAATCTAAAAATGGAGTAACTTCTTTCACACCTCAAAAATTAAGTCAGCTTTGGGAAATATGATGCTACCACATATGAAACCATAATAAACAATAAAAGTATTTATGTGCACATAATAAACTCAAATACATTTGCTCATCCCTGTACACATGTGTAAGAAGAACTCAGGATAGCTGTAGGGAATGAATTTGGCCAACTGCTCATATTACCTCTAGAATAAATGTGATTTTCAGACAGGAGACTGGGGAGAACCTTCCATTACCTTGCGACCTCCAAATGAAGCCACAGCGTCCACTCCAGTACAGTACTGGCAACACCACCCAGAAAAGCTAATCTTCCAATCGTGCGATTACAAAGCTTTTGTAAGTTACTGTGAATTCAGTATTTGGGGTCCAGTGGGGAGAGATGGTGTTTTTCTGACTTGTTTACTTTTATGTTGAAAATATACCAAAATGTCCACCGCTGAAACTTATTCTCCCCCTTTCTTATTTTTTTTTTTAAATTTTTTAATGTTTTATTTATTTTTGAGAGATAGAGAAAGAGCATGAGCAGGGGAGAGGCAGACAGGGAAGAACAGAGAGAGAGAGGGTGACAGACTCCAAAGCAGGCTTCAGGCTCCGAACTGTCAGCACAAAGCCCAATGCAGGCTCAAATTCATGAGCTGCAAAATTATGACCTGAGCCGAAGTCGGATGCTTAACTGGCTCAGACACCCAGGCTCCCCCTTCCCTTCTCTTATTCTTTAAGTAGCCTTTTCTGTATATACAGAGAAAGTCCAAGTAAATAGAGTTTTACAATCCCTTTGAATTTTGTGAGCTTAAGATCTGTTTTGTATATAGTTGTATATTTTAAATGAAATAAAGTATGATCTTAAGATGGATACGAACAGAAGTATAGCACATACAAACATCTCCACTTACTCACCAATGATCTCAAAACATTGGCTCTACTACCACATTTTTTTCATTAGAATTATAATATTGGATTTTTTTTTCCAATAGAAGAGAGAATCAGGCTTAGTCGAGAATTGCAATATAAACAGGGAAATGTTGAAAAAATACCGTAGGTTTGGGGGCAGGTGGTAGTTGTCATGACTACAGCAGAAGAAAATCACCTCTTTTACAAAGAAATGTTTCAATTAGGACAAACTTCCCTAATAACTTAAAAGACAAGGATTTCACGAAAATCATTTTTCTTTCTTTTATGTTTTATTTATTTCTGAGAGAGAGAGGGAGAAAGAGAGAGAGAGCATGAGCAGGGGAGGGTCAGAGAGAGAGGGAGACACAGAATCCAAAACAGGCTCTAGGCTCTGAGCTAGCCATCAGCACAGAGACCAACTTGGGGCCCTAACCCACGAACCGTGAGATCACGACTTGAGCCGAAGTCAGACGCTTAACCAACGGAGCCACCCAGGTGCCCCCTAAATCATTTTTCTTAATTTGATTAAGATGTGGGCATTCTGGTTGTTGTATAGCAATTTCACCTTTTTTTCATTTTGTTATCTATATCTCTTTTACTGCCTACTTGTTGTGAAGCACTGGATTTATTTCAGCAGTAATCTTCCCAAAACTGTAGGATTGAAATGCCTCTTTCTTCCTCCAAAAGCTCAAACACCAAATCCCTGAGCCTTTAGGAACTCTCCTTTCTTCAAGGCCCTTATCCACGCCCTCTGCTCTCAGCCCCTTAAGGGCTCACCCTCTTCAAGTCAGCAATTTCCTGGTCTGCAAGCCTGATTCCCAACCGCGGCTTTGCAGAGGACCAGCTTTTCTTCGGTCATGTCAGGAAAATAATTATTTTAATTCACTTTAAAAAAATACACATAGAGCTCTTTTTATTTATTTATTATTTTTGGAAGGAGATTAGGGAGGGGGGGAAATGACAAAGAAAGGAATCCGATTGAAGCTTCAAAGAGTTGAAGAGGAGTCAATTGGTGGGTGGAAAGGCAGATTTGCTACAAACCGCCCCTCAGCTAGAAAGTGGAGCGTTGAGTGGTGTTTTGTCCCAAGGTAGTATTGGATCTGATCACCTAACAGCCCAAGTGGTTGGTCATTCTTGGCAGGAGACTTTTTCATCTTCCTCCTCCCCCCTTCAGCCCTCCTTTGTGGGTTTGCAGCAGGGGCTAAAATCTTTCTGTTCAGGAATAACTGAGATGCCATTCGCCCTCCCTGCTGGCTCCCTTCCCTCGGGGCCCATCTCGTTCTCAGGTGGATCAACCACTGGGCGTGCAGCTGTGAATGAAAAGACCCCAAACTGTGTCTCCGCCTAACGTTAATTACCTACGCAGCCAAGTCAGCCCAAATGGGGTGCATGTTGCTTAGCTTCTCAGCTGTCTCACACAACCCTGTAATTACGTAGAGTAGTGTGATTTATTTTTGCAGACATTGCTGCCTCAAAAAAAAAAGGCAAAACATTTTTAGATGCCCCCATTTTGCAGTTAAATATGATTTGAAAGATGGCATCTTTAGAAGATGCTGCAGTTTTATTATAAAGAGCAATTTACAGCTCTCAAAACTGTAGTTAATTCTATAGCATTCTCTCTCTAAAGGCATTTATTTGTTAGGATTAGTTACTGTTAGTTTTTAAAAGTTATTCAACAACTTTCCGACAGGAAACCCAGCCAATAGGACTTCCACAGTTTGGTTTCTAAATCACAACTCATATTTATACTCTTTTTCATAAATCACTGAATTTCTTTGTATTTTAGTATTTAGGTTCTATGCTGATAAAAGAGCTTAGAGGGACAGAATCAACCCAAGATGCCTGTGCAAAAATGCGGGTAAGTTTGCCAAACAATTTTATTTCTAGTCGCTGAAATACTAAATACCGGGTATGGTTACAAATTGCCACTTTTCAAATGACTATTTTCTTCATCTGTTGGTCTATTGAATCACATTGCTGTTCCATAAAAAAGTGTTTGGGCTTTGTTCATGTTTATACTTGAGTTTATCTCCCTGTAGTTTGAGTTGATGTCCATTTGATGTATTTATGCCATATTATATTTACTCTTATTTTTAAAGATTTAAAGTTAATTGTATATGCATTGGTCATTCTCCAGATTAAAAAAAAATGGTCTTTAGTTGGTTGCAAGAAAATCCTTTAAGCACCTACCTGCCAGTTTGAGAACATTTACTATAAAGACCACCAATTAACTAAAAAATTATCAAATGCTAAAGTATTGAGAGCATACTTTATAAAGCTAATATTCTTTATGAGTATTAATTCTTAATTACTCTGGGTTGTTGGGCTTTTTTTAGTATAGAAAAAAACATTCAACTCTGAGTTAAATCATGTAAGGGCAGTAAATGTTGACAAAAAGGGCAATTGGAAATGCCTGTGATTGGCGTTTGCTGGATTCCTAGGAGTCTGTATTAGCCAGACGGAGTCTTACTCACTCTGCACACCCACTTTAGCTTTTTTTTTTCTATATTCTTTATTCTTGCTTCCTCCATAGCAGATGGAGGGTGTGGCGCTATCTGACTGACCGTACAGATTGAGAATAGTAGACTTACTCCATATAGCAACTAACCAGAGTCAAATTTAAGTTTGTCAGCAAGTGAACCTGAACTCTTATTTGTGGCCAGTATACATTATCACTTATTTTATATAAGCAGTGTTGGGTGGGAAATATTTAAAAGCATCGAATTAAACTAAAACAGTTATGAAGACAATATGTAATACTGATTCCTCTTGGAAGGCTGAGGGCATGTGAATCTTCATGAGACTGACACCTCAGTATGTGATCACTGATTTAATATTTGGATCAGTTCAGTAGCAAAAAGACTGAAAATACTTATCCTTTTATATGATGTAGAGTTATACTTCTATTGTCGATGCCAGTGAATCTTTATCCCAGTTACTATATTTAGATGAAAAAAGCTGTGATATGTGTCAGGAACTCTATGTTCTGGTTTTGTTGCTGCTTACATGCTTTGGAAGTCACTCTTAGTCATAATAACAATAACTGCTAATATTTACTGAGTAGGTAAAACGTGCCAGTCTTCTATGCTGGGTGCTTTGCAAGTTTATCCCTCTGAATCCTATCACAAACCTAGAGATTAGTACTGTACTGTCCTTACCCCCACTTTACATTAGAAGAGACCAAGGCTGACAGAGGTTAAGTAACTTTCCCGAGGTCACATAGTAAATAATTTGCCAATCTGGAACCAGAACGCAGGTCTGACTCAAGCATTTAACTATTGCACGTGCCTCCTTCTCCTGGGCCTTGTTTTCGTACTTAGAAAATGAGGACATTGGACTAGATGCCCTGTAGGGGTCTTTGTTCATGGTTTTATAATTCTGGGAATCTGGTATCCTCAATGTATATCTGATCTAAATTATGTCACCAATGACCAATAAAATGGGAACACTTTTCAATCATCAAGCTTCATCATAATTTTAGAGCTATTTATGAACACGTCTAAGAAATTAATTTGGCATCTCTGATTTAATACTCTTAACTCAATTATCTCAGTCAATTCAGCTACTTTGATGCTGTAATCCACATAAATAGTGCATAGAGCACATAGCACCATTTAAAATCACAGATTTGTGATTTGAATTTCAGTCAATTTCTTGAAATTAAGTGGATCTGAAATTCCATTCTGATAAACAGGAAAGCCATTTTAATAGTGTCAGTGGAGAATAATTTAGTTAAATACTTGTCTGTTGCTTAAAATGAAACAGAAAAGGCTTGTCTGTTTAGAAGCCATTCTTCTGTTCATTGAGACATTTTTCTGGCTTGCTACCCTTGGTGTTTATTTGGGAGAGTTTACATGAAAATAGGAAATTTATTGCTTCTTAGAATATCACGAGCCCCTATCTCCCATCTTGATTAAATGAATATCAGTCTTTGGTACAGTGGCTTAAAGTTGCACTCAGTGGATTTACTAGAGCCTTTCGAAACTAGAAATGCAGGTTTGCTGTTATCTGAACTCTTGTATTATGAATTAGAACTCTCACCAACTGAAAATGGTATGGATCTCAACTTGCAGTTAATTTTCAGTTTGAACTTCAAGTCCCTATTTTTTCTGTTTTCAACATGGTAGCATTCCAGTCAAAAGTCCCAGAATAATCAAGTCTACAGGGGAAATACTGTAGGACTGGTGATCTTAAATGTTGATATATAGTAATATCATTAGGCTGAATTACTTTGGATTAAAACTTTACCTGGTTTAAAAACAAAACAAAACAAAAAAAAACTTTACCTGGTTTTTAACTCTTCGAGTGTTAAAAAAAAAAAAAAGATGTTTTCAATTCAACGGTGTGCATTTTAGCTGAAATTAAAATTTCTTTCCCAGTAAGAAGTAAATCAGTACAGTTCTTTATTCTGAGAAACACTTCCTTGATGTACTTTATCAACAAAGATAACTAAGATTTGGCTCCTGCTCCCACTGAGTTCACAGTTCAGTGGAGAAATCCTACAAGTTAACACATAATTCCCCCAAAGTAGGAGAAGTTTCACTAGAGAGGGGTCTTCATGTTTTCATCAACCTACAGGATCATCATAGATGATCCCCAAAATGACCTTCAGGCATAGTCTCCTAAAATCAGCTTATCAGTACTAATAACAGTTATCACTCAACAGCTGTAGACCAGGCCCTGCACATGTGATTATGTGCATTAATTCACTTAATCGTGAGTGAGTATTGCTGTTGTCCCCAAAGGCCAACGACAGTTAGATAACTTACCCAAGGTTACCCAGCTAGCAAGCGGTGCAGCCAGGGTTTGAACCTAGGTGCTCTAGTTCCACGACCAAACTCCAAACCCAAGGCTGCACCACCTCTCTAATGAGCCAGTGGAGCATTTATTGCCCGGAGTTTTAAAATAGCTGAAAATGTAGGGGCACCTGGGTGGGTCAGTTGGTTAAGCATCTGACTCTTCATTTCAGCTCAGGTCGTCATCTCACCATTCGTGAGTTAAATCCCCACATGAGGTTCTGCACTGGCAGCGCAGAGCCTGCTTGGGATTCTCTCTCTCTCCCTCTGTCTCTGCCCCTCCCTCTCTTTCTCTCTCAAAAGAAATACTTAAAAGATTAAAAACAAAATAAAGTAGCTGAAATGTGGATCATTTATGTTGATAAAGAGCTTTAGAAACCCTCAAAGAGTCTAAAATTAGCGAACTTAAACCACGTAGGCACAGATATATATAGTAATTTGAGGTACTTTCCAATGTGTTAATCTAAATAAAAATTTCTGGAGAGTTTTTATTGCATCCTAAGCAACTATATTTTTTTTCCACAATACTTAAGTACATGTACTTTGCCCCAGCACAAACCAAACACAATGTTACCCTTTAGAAACATTTGGAGTGTTTGGTGGTCACAAACGGTTAATTTCTAAGTTTATCAAAAGCCTGGTTTTTTTAAAAAAATTTTTTTAATGTTTATTTATTTTTGAGAGAGAGAGAGACAAAGCATGACTGGGGGAGGGGCAGAAAGAGGGAGACACAGAATCCAAAACAAGCTCCAGGCTCTGAGCTGTCAGCACAGAGCCCGACACGAGGCCCGAACTCACAGACCACACAATCACGACCTGAGCCAAAGTCAGATGCTCAACCGACTGAGCCATCCAGGTGCCCCAATCTAAGCCTGTTTATCTCTAAGGTTCCCTCCAGTTCTGAAACCAAGATAATTCTACACCGATGTCCTAGTATTTTATTATATACATATTATTTCAATCAAAAATAGGCCATCATAAACTAATATGTGTGAGATGATAGTAATTCACATCATTCTACAGTATGGAATCACTTTTCTGTTCAGGTCAGCCAGCCTTTTTCCTCCTCAAATTACCTTATAATTTTTCTAACAGACTTTGCTTTTTAGAGCAGTTTTAGGTTAATAGGAAAATTAAGCATAAAGTGCAGAGTTATTGAACATACCCCCTCCATAATCTCCTTCCTAGTTTCACATATTAATATCTTACATTGATGTGGTACATTTGTCACAATTATGAACAATATTGTTATTAACTGAAGTCTGTGGTTTACATTAGAGTTCATTCTCGGTGTTACACAGTGTTTGGGGTTTTGACAAATGCAACCATTACGTTATCATAAAGAATTGTTTCATGCCCTAAAAATCTCCTGTGCTCCACTTGTTCATCTCTTCTGTCCCCTGTCCCCTAGCAACCAGGGGATGTCTTTTTACTGTCTTCCATCTTTTCCAGAATGTCAAATAGTTGGAATCATACAGTATGTACCCTTTTTAGACTGTCTTCTTTCATTTATTTAGCAATATGCTTTTAAGCTTCCTTCTTCTATGTCTTTTGTGGTTTGATAGCTCTTCTTTTAATGTTTATTTATTTTTGGGAGAAAGAGAGAGAGAGCGAGAGCTGGGGAGTGACAGAGAGAGAGGGAGACACAGAATCTGAAGCAGGTTCCAGCCTCTGAGGTGTCAACACAGAGCCTGACACAGGGCTCAAACTCCTGAACTATGATCTTGTGACCTGGGCCAAAGTTGGATGCTTAACCTACTGAGCCACCCAGGTGTCCCAATAGATCTTCCTTTTTATCAACTGAATAATATTCCATTGTATGGATGTACCATAGTTTATTTATCCTTTACCTATTGAAGACCATCTTGGTTGCCTCCAGGTTTTGGCAATTATGAACAGAAGCACTATAAACATTTATATGCAGGTTTTCGTCTCAAGATTTTTTTTCCTGGATCCAAACCCTCTTAAAATTATCTTCTGAATTGTTTTTAGTGAAGAAGAATCAATAGGAACTTACATTAAACCCTGATAATTTTTTAAGTAAAATTGCAGTTTTTGTCTT